TTATGAGGCAAAACGTTCAAAGGTATTCTTCCCTCCCCTTGTCTTGACTTCACATTCTTCTTTTCTCTTAAACTTGAGTTGACAGCTGTAAGAATAGAGGGGAAAATAGCAGTTATTAGATCTCATTGAATCTGCCAGTTATGCCAAGATATGAAGCAGCCAGCAGCCAGCTGGTTGGTAACATTTCTTATTGTTGCTAAGGAAAAAGTGAAGAATGTGTATTCCCTCAAAGGACTGTATTTGTCCCTCATCATGTATGCTTATTCATGTAACATACACTTGGCTGACTTTATTTTTGTTTCCCCATTAAATAATAGTTTTCTGATGAAGTTCAGGATTATGATTGAAATATGGAGTTAAGCTCATACTGAAATAATTCTGAGACTTTGAAGATTCCTTCTTCAAGACTGTTTTGGGAATTTCATTTGTGTTTAGAGTTGGCGGGGGCGGGGTGGAGTGGGCCAGAGTTCAAACCCTGATTTAATTTTTTCCAATCAACTTTTTTTTGGAAATTCTAGGCCAGCATCAAATTTCAGCCGATTGCATCTCCATGTCAGCTATGGAAATTATTCATGGGATAGTTCTGAAATAAGTTGAGTCATAGTTATTCTAGCATTGCAGTATAGACAACAAATGTGTTAGTAGCATATTGCTACCTGCAAAGGCCCAGGAAACAAGTGGTTTAGGTGGTAAGATCTTTTATGAAGGTGTGGGGCGATCAAGTTTTTCTATACTGGTAAATAGGTTATGTAAGTTTATATATCAATATATTTATAAACATTAATGCTCTAAGAAAGTATTAAGTAACTTGCCTTATGTTTTTGGCAGCTATTCACGATTTTCTTTGGAGGAGTGTAGATTCATGTAACCTGCTAATTATGGGGTTCAATTTTCTTTTTTTTTTTTCCCCTCAGAGTAAGTAGTGTAAGGAAAGAGCACGGAATGTTTAAGTCAAGTATACTGAATGCCTGCCGTTCTGTAGGCAACGTTTAGTTGATCTCCTGTGTTAAGAAAGTACCTCTGACTAGATGCCTGAAAGCAAGTTCAGTTCTGCTTAGAGGTGCTGTTAGTAGTCTGGTTGCAGTTGTAGTAAACTTAAGCAGTGATTGTTGATATCCAGCTGGTTAATACTGTCTATTTTAACATTTCTAAAACATATTTTTAATTTGGCTAATGTAGCAGTTCAATTTCCTAATGTAGTATAAGTTTTATAGTTAGTATTCGTATTACTGTTTGTTATGTCAAGAAGTATGAGAACAAATTTGTTTTCATTATAGGCAGAAAGCCCTACAATTAGAGTCAAAGTAAGGAGGACATTGTTGCAGAAGCTAAATTTGATGAGCTAATTATAGGATCCATCTTTGTTCTCCCCTGTCCCATTTTATCCCTCGTTATTTCAGGTATCTGCAGACATTCAGTGAAATATAGCTATTTAACAACAGATTGGTATAATGATGTTGCCAGACTAAAGGGTAGAACTGGTTAGTAATGCACGGAAGACTTTTGTAATCTTTAAAATGAGACTAATACATATATTCCACACAGAGAAAAGCAATGGAGATGGTTTTGTATGTTCTGTTTGCTTTTTGTGCAGCATATTACTAAACAATATTTTAGCGTGTTCTTGTGAATATTCGCTATGGAATTATCTCTCTTCAGGCCATTAGTAGTATGCTAGATCTCAAATATATTATCTTAGGAAGAAATTTCTTGCTTAGAATATATATAAAAGCTATTCCGTAGGTTACTGTTCAGTAGAGAACGTGCTCTGTGTAGATTAACTGGCCTCATTTTGCAACAGATTGAGTAGTAGGAGGTCAAAGCAGAAGTTTGACCTAGCATCTTATCCTGAAATAGTGATGTTACTGTGCCAGTATGTATACAGTAATATAAAATTAGATAAATAAGATGCAGAATCTTCCCATGAGCTTCAGGGAGAACAGGAGAAATATTTTCTTCCCAAATGAAATCCCCTTGCTTTAGTATTTTCCATAGTGCTCTTCACTGCTTCATATTTAAAACATTTTTAAGTCAGACAGACATCTCTTGTACTATCACAGCATTTGTTAGTAATTAGATACACGAGCTTCTGTTCCAGTAATTTTTTTTTTCATAATTTGCTTTTATATTTCCAAGCACAAAGCTGAATTATTTAAGGAATAGAATTGCATATTGATTGATCAAATACATTTTTAAGAATTACTTCCTATATATCGTTTGCAAAAAAATCTCTCAAAATGTTCTATGAAACAAGTATTACGATACATTTAATCTCATAAGATTATTTAGACATCACTCCTATCATGTTTTTTAAATGCCTATTTAATGGTAGTGGTGCATTTTGTTTGCAATTGAAGTACAGTATTACATGTTTTCAGGTCTTATGTTGATGCTAAATTTTAATTGGTAATTTCTACAACATTTTAGGTATTTATTTTGGACAGAGTGGGGACAGACTCCTTGCATAGGCAGGGCACACTTAGATGGGTCTGAGAAGGTTGTGCTTGTGAGCCTGGGGATTGCGTGGCCTAATGGGATTTCCATCGACTATGAGGTTAGTTCCTCTATCTTCTAATATATGTTAAAAGGTACAGTGTTTGTTACATTTCATTAAAGCCAGTTTCTTCCACTTTGATGTAATCTTAAGAACTCTTAATTAAATACTTGGACAAGACTGTTGACGTTTCCTTTAAAATTAATCTTTAGGAAAATAAATTATATTGGTGTGATGCTCGTACCGACAAGATAGAAAGAATTGACCTTGAGAGTGGAGGGAATCGGGAGATTGTGCTGTCAGGGAGCAATGTGGATATGTTTTCAGTCGCAGTGTTTGGAGCTTACATCTACTGGTCTGACAGGTAATTTATTTTTCATAAGTATTTGAGTCTCAAAATGTTATTTCAGTGCCAGGTGCTTCACCTTTGTAGGATTAGCCATTCCTTAGCAAGGTCACAGAATGGATCGCAGAAACCTATGCAGTTTCCAAAGAAAGGGCATTTCTGATGCAGAAAGCTAAAGCGTACCAGTGTCATAGACGAGAACAGGTTTCTTCACCTTCTGTGAGGTGAACTGCCCACTGCCCTTCAGTCATCTGTTTGGTATGAATTAGTTGAGGATTGTTGATGAGACATCTTCAACTTTTTTGGCAGAGCACATGCAAATGGCTCTATTAGAAGAGGCCACAAGAATGAGGCCACGGATGCTGTGACCATGAGGACTGGCCTTGGAATAAACCTGAAGGAAGTGAAAGTCTTTAATAGAGCACGAGAGAAAGGTTGGCTGTTCTTAAGGATGCTATTAATTGTTTTAATATCACCTGCTACTTTTTATGTATCTTAAAGCATACCAAAAGTTAAGTAATCACTGATTTTATCTCCACTTATTACTCCTGAAGTTTTTTTTTTTTTTTAAGCTAAAATTAATGTACTCAAGGAAACATATAGTACAAATTCTACCAAAATTCTTCTGAGTGTTTTAAGGAGAAAATCTAAAACCAAAACACTTCCTGTCATTCCAGGTTTAGTGGGGTTTGTTTTGTTTTGGTTGTTTTTTTCTAAAAGCAAAAAAGCAGTCTTAGGAATGAGAGGGACCTTGAACTGTGCTTTAAAGAGCAGTAATCTCAGGCAGTCTCAGATTTCTATTGGAAAGCAAACCAGATTTTTTTTTCACAGCTAGAAATTCCCAGCCTCTGTGTCTCAAGTATATATTTGCTTAAATTACTTGGTTTTGAGTCCTAGTTTTTTTTGAGTGGGAAGAGACCTTGCAAAGGATCACATTTCCTTTATATTCCGTTTGTTTAGCAAATTCAAGAGACATTCTCTGTGATTTATGGTATCAATGGTTAAATTTTGTTCTCCACTACCTGACTAAGATTAATCCTGCTTTTAGCTGTCTTTTTTCTCCTAGAATTCTGGTTTTGAAGAGATCATGAAAAACTTGTTTCAGTGAGCAAAGTTGGTTAGAAAGCTACCAAAAATTATGATAACTTTCTCAGAACAAACTGCTGCCAGGCCATGTTTTCCATAATTATATTCAAAAAACAGAGGGAAAAAAGAAAGTTACTGTAATACGAGATAAACTTCTTAATACAAATATATCTCTGGGGTTGGTAGCACTCAAAAGTAGCTTTAATCACAGCATGACATACCCAAAGACCCTGTTTCTTTTATGTACATCTTTCTTAAATAACTGCATTAAATATGACATGTAAAATAAATCTGCACTTTGAAAGAAAACAGATTTAACAATCAGTAAGAAAAATTGTCTTTTCATTTTTTTAAGGGAATTTTAAATAGTTTTGAAAAAAATTAGTTTGCAAACATTTGAATATTAATTTTAATAAGAATTTCTGCATGTAATTTCAGAGTAATGTGGGTATATTGTGGATAAAAAGAAAATCCACGCAAAAAATTATCGTTTCTATTAACTAGGCTAGAAATAGTTAATGTCTGCTTGCTTGGAAGGGCTTTATATTATAGAATTAGGAAAATAGAACAATGGGGTAAAACAATGCTTCTTTACATGTAATGATTTTTATTGATAGCTTTAAAGACTTGATCACATTAGGAATGGGAGAAAAGGTTACTGAGGCTAAAAATCTTTTTATGTTAGTTTGAAAATCATAACTGAATGATTTTTTAATATATTTTTCAAATTTTACTAGGGTACAAATGGTTAATGTCTTTGGGAGGGGATGTCAGTGAGCCACAAGGACAAAAGGGAAAAAACAGGTGAAAAATGTTTTTGGAATGTTTTTCTATATCACACTATTATATATCTTTTTTTCTATATCACACTATAACATATATTTTTTTAAGTTCATTAAATTAAAAGCAATTAAAACTGTTTTAAAAAAAATGTAATTAGGTAGCTTCCTGACCTTCTATTATTAAAACAAACCAAACAAATTGTGCTGATTGTGAATAATGCTTTTTTTTCAAACACCTGTTTTACCCTTTCTGATGAGCCAGTCCTGCAGTGCTGTTTGCAAGCGGAATCCTATCCTTCAGTGCTATTTCCATGTCTGCAAGGACGGGTCCTAACTACACTGGTTTCAGAATTGGCCCTTTTAAAAAAATATTTTCAGCTGGTGAACTGTGGAAGCATTGAAGTTTTTGAAGAGAGATTTTAGAAGCTTGAGGATCTTTTTCATATATTTTCCTTTCTCTTCTCAACCTCTCATCCTTCCAAACAGATATTAACTTTTCTAGCCTAATAAAACTTTAAAAAACTCTTTAAAACAAACCAAATGCAAAACTGTATACAGCTAAATCTCCAAATGTTTTTACATCACTCTGGAGGAATATGCCTCGTGTAATTTTGCCTAGGAACACAAAATCCAATGTTTCTAATTTTAAGAGCACTTTAGCTCTCATACCTCATTATTTTTTCTTAAAAGTTTCTTCAGCTTGAAATGTAGCAGTTAGAAAATACAATCAACAGTACTTTCAGACACTACATAATCCCTGACAATTGTTATGGTTTTCTACCTGAAAACAGTCTATTTAAAATGTTTTTCTTCTTCACTATGTAGAAAACTTTCAGAAATGGGAAAATGATTATATTGAAAGAGCTGAGTTGTTATATGAAAAGTGCTGTCAGAAATAGAAACTAAGTTATCTAAATTAATTGTAGTAGTAATTCATACGTAGTTCAAAACAAGACAATGGAAAATAGCTCCTATGTGTTGATGATTATTGTAATTTTAAATATTGCTTGCAACAAGTGTAGTTTAAGTCATTGAAGTTACTAATTTGACAATGATTTCTTAATAGTATGCGTTTGTCAGGGAGTAAGTTTTTTAAATGAAGTTGTAAAGGAAATTAGAAGAAATGTTAGGAAATGTCTATTAAGCAGGGAACTGGATTGACACAGTTTTGTAACTGTCAATATGCATGTCGTCAGTTTGATAGAAATCATCTAAAACCAGTACTGTATTCTGATGGGTTCTAAATTTGACTTTTTGCCAGTAACAGGTGTTTTAAAAAAAAAATAAATAAATCTTTCAAAGCACTTGAATCATTTTCTAAGTCTTCAGCTGATTATGGAGGAATAGCCCATTTTATCATTTTCTATTAAAATATATTCTCTTGTGGATTGGAAAGGACATGAATTATGTTTGCTCATTAATTGTGTTCTTTAATATTGTCTTTAGGCTGGGTTAAAGCTACATTCTTTACTGTTTTGGCCTTTGTTTTACTTGTAAATGTTGTAGAAAGAGTTTGAAGAGAAGAATTCTCAGAATACGTAAAATTACATGACTTTTGAGTTAGCTAAGTGTAATATTATAAAAGATAGATTTTTTTTAATTTTTTTTTTTTTTTTTTTACAGGTACTAATGTTTGTGCCAAGAACAATGGTGGATGTCATCAACTTTGCCTTTATCGGGGAAGTGCACGGAGAACATGTGCTTGTGCACATGGCTATCTTGCCGAAGACGGAATTACTTGCCTGAGACATGAAGGTTACCTGTTGTACTCGGGAAGGACAATATTAAAAAGTATACATCTTTCAGATGAAACCAACTTAAATTCACCAGTAAGGCCATATGAAAATCCAGAGTACTTCAAAAATGTGATAGCTCTTGCTTTTGACTACAGCCTGAAAGGAAGAGGTACAAACCGCATATTCTTCAGCGATGCACACTTTGGAAACATACAGGTTATTAAAGACAACTGGGCTGGCAGAAAAGTGCTGATTGAAAGTAAGTAACAAAATTATTTCTCAAAATACGGCTTTTATTTCAATAAACTTTACTAAGTGAAAAGTAAACGAGTAAAAAAAAGTCAATAATGTTTTACCATACTTCAGCATGTAACACAATTACTGTATTTTATTCTTACAAATTACATTTAAACATTATCTTTAAAATTAAAATTTCAAAATAATTTATTTCGTAATAATCTTACAATGCGTGAAGCATATTACTAGAAACTAGAAGTGATAATGACAGTGCTTAATTTGTATTACTGTGATTTTAAGGAGCTTTACAGTTGAAACAAAACCTCATTGTGCAATGCTTGGAAACAAAACAAGTGCCCTCACCCCACGAACATATTGGTTGTTTATTTTTCTAGTTAGTGTGGGTGAAGTACTGTAAGATACCTCTGCTGACGTAACCATTCCTGAGTATAAAATATCAGAACCCTGGGCAGCATGTCCAGTTGACTCACTCTTGTAGTGAGCCCAAGAAAAATGACTTTTGCTCAGTAATAACTGAAGGCAAATTCCAACCTATTACATAGTTCATTTTTAGTAGAGGCTTACTCAGTAGCGTTGCACGTTTACTGTGCCTTCAGTCACCACACTAGTAGGAGGAGGTTTATGAAACTTGGGATTTTTTAGCCTCTGAATACTCACTTGTTCTCCTGCCATCAGTTATCAGATGCATATATTTACTCTGTTTTTTCTCTTCCTTGAAATTTTTCAATACAGTCTGTTTTTTTTGGAGGCTGCAGTTCACTTCAGTAACTGTTTTCCAGTGTGTCTGAAGTGTTGTATGGTTTTGCTTCTTATGTTGTCGTTAATTCTTATCTGAGTTTCTGATGTCGTATGTTACTGTGCCTATGGCGTTGCTACGCTAAACTATTTGTTTGGGTCAAACAGTTTAATAACAAGACCAAAGAAAGGGATTAGGAGAAATGGAAGTAGATTTGATGTGCAATGTATCACCCTTGGCTGTTGCATGTTAATGGGAATATTTTTAGAAAAGTAAGAAGTTAAACAGATGAAAGCTGACAAAATATTATTCTACAACTGTCATTGGATAATTGTATCATTATGTACCTCTGCACCGTGGCTCTGGGAAGGTATTCGTGGTCATGAAAGCTGTTGACACTAATGAATGGAAGAGCATTTTTCAAATATAATACAAGGCCTTTTTTTACTTTGAGTTTTGAAGTGTGCATATTTTAGAGAAATTAACTGTATTGGTATTAAGATACGGTAAAGAGAAGCTAAGCAATGTTGTCAGGATGTTCTCGTTACTCCCAGGAAAGCATTAACACCTGGGGATTCAGAGTTGAGATCAGCTGTACAAGAGACGCAAACAGCTCGCAGACATGTGCAGTGGTGACATACAAGCACTATTTTAACTCTGGTGTTATAAGAAGAGGTTAAAAGTATTTCATGAAAAGCCTTTGTTGTTAAAACAGACAAGGAGGAGAAAGAAATACTGGTGAAGCATCAATGCAGATACAAATTGTTTTTTTAAAAGAACAATAAAGTTTTACTCATTACTTTTATAGTAGGTTGTTGTACAAGAGCTAAAGACATTCCATAAAGCATAGTTGAGAATTATGGTTTTAAGAAATTGTTAGGAAGTATTTCTACTTCTAAATATGCCCGATTTAATTTTTCATTAGCAGAGTCAGCACACTGAATAATTGAATGTCAGATGAAGTTTTGTATCATTGCAAGAAAATTTACTGTATATGCTTGGGATGTATTTGTGAAATGTGGTGTTTGTTTTCTAGAAATGCTTCAGGGTTTTTTTTCGTTGTAAATGAGAAGGGATATCGCATCCCAGTATATGTTAGTTTGTTGTTCCCCTTCATGTATTTTAAAGCCCTTTTCTTTATGTTGAGTCATTCATTTTCAGCTGGTACTTTTGTACTACATATCCTACCTTTCCACAGTGTGCACTTGACTTTCCCTCACTGTAAACAGGAGACAGTTCATGAGGCTGCTTGATATAGTGGAAGTATTTGAACAACAGTGATACCTATAAAGGAAAAAGAAGTGGTAAGACTGGTTGACACCAGTGATTCCATTCACTGAAAGACGTAAAATTCTATTTTTTTTTTTTTTTAAATTCCACGTTAACTATATGTGTTTACATAGAAATTGTTAAATGGAATCCAGCTGACTGATTTTACTAAAAGTGTTTCACTGAGGATTAAAAAAATAACATCTTTGACATTCATTTTACTATCTTTTTTCCTCCAAAATTATTAGAAAGCATCTGTAGAAAGTTTTACTTTGCCAGGAAGAGGTTCAAAACCTCATTGGAAATATCTAGTGTGGTTCTAACAATTCTACAACCCCTGTCTACCTCATTAGGTCCGCAAAAAATGCAAACCTTTACTCAGTCTTTGACTCAAATAGACAAAATAGAGAACCTTACATACAAGGTACTATTGTCCCAGATTTTTAGCTCACTAAATGTAGATCGGCTCATAAAGAATCCATTAGCTGGATTTCTACCACACTGAAATCAGATATGCCACTCAAATCTAGCGCATTTGTGAACTTTTCTGCACACTAGAAACAGAGTTAAGATATATAAAGACCCCTTTGTTAAACAGGTTTCCAGTTCACTAAAAGCAGATTTACAACTCACGAGCAACCCATTATCTAACATGTTTTTAGCTCACTGAGAACAGATTTACTACCCAGAAACAACCCATTATCTAGCATGTTTCCAGTTCACTGAAAACAGATTTACAACCCATACGCACGCTATTATCTAACATAGTTCCGACTCACTGAATATTGATTTAGAATTCATAAACAACCCATTATCTGACAAATTTTCACCTCACTGAACAGATTTGCAACTCATAAACAACCCATTAGCTAACACATTTTCGGCTCAGGGAAAGTAGATTTACAGCATATAAACAACTTTATCTAACTTGTTCCGGTTCACTAAAAACAGATTCAAAACTCACCAAGAACCCAGCACCTGATCAAGTTCTGGCTTCAGCAGGCAGAAGAAACAATAACAACAAAAAAAACCCTAGTGTAGCATGTGCATAGTGTGCCATACCCTAACACCTTTACTTCTTCTGCAGCGTGGGTTTTTGGGGTGCATTCTTCTTACCTATGAACTCTGCTGATGAAATGGGCGTTATTTCCTTTGGTCAGTCAGCTGGGACTTTTACTTTCTTAGTTTTATCAGTAACTCTGTGGGGTTAATCATTCTTGATTGCCAATTTTTAAAAATTTAACTTGTTCTTGGCCATGATTTCCCACAATTGTTCTTTTGGATGATGAATTATCTAACCTCACTCATTATTTTAGTTCTATAGCATCGTGTACAGTTTAATCCAGTCTGAAGACATATTAAAAATTAACTTACCGATGGAGTAATACTTATTTTAAATATGTTGTGACATGTCTGCCATCTATATCATGTGTTTTGATCTCAGTCTTTCCTTCCGAAGAGTGGAAGAGATTATATTTTATTGCCTTTCTTGCTTTAAGCACACGCTTTGAGAAATATTGGACTATAAAGGAATGAGTAGGAGCTTACTGTGGGGTCCCACCCACAAATTTCTTTGTAACCGTTTCTTTTTCGGTTGAAAAGATCAGCCTTGCAGTTCACTTTACACAGGCTAGCCTGCTTCTGCTTCTCACCTGTAACCTGAGCTAGCTATACACGTGTGTACTTCCGTATTCTGCTGTGCTGTAAAAGCTTCATGAACCTGTTAAGGTAAAATGTTTAACCGTCACGACATTCCTATTTTTCGTTGGCAGTGGTAGTCCTTTGTAAAGCAAAACACAGTCACAGTCAATATATTTGGGATATTCATGCTGTATATATATACATACACACTTCCTCTTCGTCCAGTTTGAGGAATTGTGCAGGCTTCACTCTGCAAAAAGGAGTATTTTTTCATTTCTTATACGCTTTCTGGAGCTTTTGCATGTGAGAACCAGTGCCTCAACAAATCAAATTGTAATTCATTTGGTAGTCAAGAGGAGATACAGGGAGATTACATACCCTTTGGAAGTTGTTTTTCATTTAATTTTGGCCTCCAGTGGACTTCAGGCTTTCTAGAAAATGGAAAGAAAGCATTAAATACAAAAGTAGTTACAAGAGGTAACAAATTTATGTGGAAGTGACACTGACTTTAAATCAATATATTGGGGTGACCATCTCTGAACAATCTTTACCATTTCTGTCCATCCCCACCAGAAGTAGACATAACTGTTGACAGTCTCTCTGGTACAATTTGTGCTGAAAATCTAGGTTAGAATGAGGTAGTGGAGCAAAATACAGAAAGAAAGAACAGAAATCGGTAGCAATTAAAGGCACAAAAATTATATGAGGAGGTATTTGGAAATCTTATTCAAAAGTGCTACAGGTTATCAGTTTCATTTGGAACAATAGGGTCTATTCTCCTCTCAGAGGGAGTCCAGGGGAGAATTTTACTTTTATTTTCTTTGTCATTAGTCACTTCTAGACAGAATAACACTACTATTTCAAACTTCTGAACCAGTTTCTGTAGTATTGAAACTGGAAGCCATTTGGAAGGCACCCTGATAAACATATATGAAGTACTTTTAATCTTTATAGATCTAAATAGATCGATCTTCCATCTGCAAGTAATTTTAAAGTAGACTGAAATGATTGGAAATGAAGATGTTTCAACAGAAATAAGCATCGATTTGATAGATGAGATTTTTAATCTTACATGCTTATCCCCTCTCATACCACATCTCCCTCTGACTGTTGTTTGTTTTGTCAAATGATGAATGGCGAGTTAACTTTATTTTTAATGATGTGATGATCTGAATAGAGATTTCTTCTACATGGAATTAGAGGTCTCACTTGGACTCAGAAAAAGTCTGTGAAAGATGGTACATTATTGCCAAAATAGTTTCATTGTGGTTTTGATGGAGCGAACAACTAATGGAAGCCTTAAATTAAAATCGTGAAGACCAGTATACTTTGTTTCCTGTTACACATAAGGTGAT